ACCTTGAGCCTCATCTTGTCGATATATCGATGATTTGACCCTAGGTGTCACCTTGAGCCTCATCTTGTCGATATATCGATGATTTGACCCTAGGTGTCACCTTGAGCCTCACCTTGTCGATATATCGATGATTTGACCCTAGGGTGTCACCTTGAGCCTCATCTTGTCGATATATCGATTGTTTTAACCCTAGGTGTCACCTTGAGCCTCATCTCTTGTCGACATATTGATGATTTGATCCAACAAGCCAACTTGAAAATTGCAATGGCCTAAACAATCCAACAAGCTAACAGTGCATCATATAACAATTACTAGTGAACATTGTAATGGCCATAATAACAAGCCAACTTGACAGAAATAGAGAGGCTTAAGTACATTGCATCATATAGATTCATAGGTTCATAGATTATAGTACCATATCACATCATCATGAAAACAGATCCAACAACATAGAAAATACTAGTTCAGCCAGATTATAGTACCACAAGTTGTTGCCAAAATAGATCTTAGCAATTACTAGTTTAGCTAGATCACATCATCATCAAGGTTCGACATCAGTTCCCAGAAGCATAGAAATAGTCTTTCAGCCTGCTGGGTTGCTTTCTCTGTCTTGGTGGCAAGAATGGTGCTGATGTGGATGCTGCAGCTATTGAACCTCTCCTACTTGCTATAGCTGAAGAAGCTCTCCTGGCAGGAGTTGAGATGGCTGCCCTTGTTGCTGCACCTGCATTTGAGCTGGCTGCCCTTGTTGCTGCACCTGCAGTTGAAGAAGCTTCCCTTGGTGCTGGAGCTGTTGAAGAAGCTGCCCTTGGTGCTGGAGCTGTTGAAGAAGTTTCCCTTGGTGCTCCCCTTGGTGCTGCACTTGTTGATCCCCTTGGTGTTGTTTGTGCCCTGCTTCCTTGTGTGCTACCCTCCTCTGTGCTGCTAGACTGCATATAAGAATTGTAGCAAGTTAATACATTCAAGTGTTAGAAAACAAAATCTGGCTGAACCTGGTGCTTGTACAAACCTAATGCTTGTTCTTTCTCAATGCTAACCCTGGTTTTAGAGGCTGTTTGCATGATGTGTATATTTGACCTACAAGCTGGCAGTTGCTGCATGTAATTGAAGCCATCCTAGATGTATCTTTGGGTGCTGGTGGCTCAAACTGGCTCCTTCTCCTCTTGGCTTGCTTCTTCCTTGGCTTATCCTTGAACACTGGAGGTTCTATTTCTCTGCTATTGTTCTTGGGCCACAGATCTTGTCCTGGTAAAGGGAATATGATGGGGTTGTATGCTGCCAGATACATTGGCTTTTTGAAAAAGTCATGTACAAAGTCTTCAGGCCTCAGTTTGGCTTTGGTGATAGCTGATACTGCATGATTGCATGGGACAGCAGTCATGTCCCATTTCCTGCACCCACATGTCCTATGCTACAGGTTAACTGAGTAAGTTCTCTCATTGCTTGTCACTTGGTAGATATTTGGCCCAGCCATCAATGCTTGACAGTTCCTAGATTTTTTCTTTGCTTCTTCAAGCAACTCAGCATATGTTGGGCATATATCCCACTTGGCTACCTCTGTCTTAGTCCTATTGCCATTGAACCTAACCATCAACTTAGTCATGATTCCATCTATCATGCTCTTTATTGGTTTGCCCCTCACATATAATATCATCTTGTTAAAGACCTCACTAATATTGTTGACAACTAGGTCGGTTTTGTAATTGAAGTCTGAGGGAGTCCTGGACTAGGGGGTGTCCGGATGGCCGGACTATACCTTCGGCCGGACTCCTAGACTATGAAGATACAATATTGAAGAATTCGTCCCGTGTCCGGAAGGGACTTTCCTTGGCGTGGAAGGCAAGCTTGGCGATACGGATATGTAGATCTCCTACCATTGTAACCGACTCTGTGTAACCCTAGCCCTCTCCGATGTCTATATAAACCGGAGAGTTTTAGTCCATAGGACGAACAACATTCATACCATAGGCTAGCTTCTAGGGTTTAGCCTCTCCGATGTCGTGGTAGATCTAGTCTTGTACTACCCATATCATCAATATTAATCAAGCAGGACATAGGGTTTTACCTCCATCAAGAGGGCCCGAACCTAGGTAAAACATCGTGTCCCCTGCCTCATGTTACCATCCGGCCTAGACGCATAGTTCGGGACCCCCTACCCGAGATCCGCCGGTTTTGACACCGACACTGGTGCTTTCATTGAGAGTTCCTCTCTGTTGTCACTTTTAGGCCCGATGGCTTCTCCGATCATCAACAACGATGCGATCCAGGGTGAGACTTTTCTCCCCGGACAGATCTTCGTATTCGGAGGCTTTGCACTGCGGGCCAATTCGCTTGGTCATCTGGAGCAGATCGAAAGCTACACCCCTGGCCATCAGGTCAGATTTGGAAGTTTGAACTACACGGCCGACATCCGCGGAGACTTGATCTTTCACGGATTGGAGCCACAACCAAGCGCGCCGCACTGTCACGATGGGCATGATTTAACTCTGTTGCCGAACAGTGCCCTGGAGGCCGCACCTGTGTCCGCTTCGACCCCTAGGTCGGAGCCGATCACACCAACCGAGGATGGGTGGTTAGACACCGCCTCGGGGGCTGCAATCTCTATGGAGATCGAGCCGAGCACCAGCCCTATTCTCTGTAAGCCCGTGACTCCAAGGAGCCGGACTCCTCTCCTGACTCTGAGCCCTCCGCCTCTGACTGATCGAACCCGATTGGACGCTGATCATGGAGTTCACCGCCGCGGACATCTTTCAGCACTCGCCCTTCGGCGATATTCTGAATTCACTAAAGTCTCTCTCTTTGTCAGGAGAGCCCTGGCCGGACTATGGTCGGCAAGGTTGGGATGCGGATAATAAAGAAATTCAAAGCCCACCCACAACCCACTTCGTAGCCACTGTCGATGATTTAACCGACATGCTCGACTTCGACTCCGAAGACATCGACGGTATGGACGCCGATGCAGGAGACGATCAAGAACCAGCACCTATAGGGCACTGGAAAGCCACCTCTTCGTATGATAAATACATGGTGGACACCCCAAAAGAAGGCAATGGCGATGGAACAGCGGAGGATGACCCCTCCAAGAAGCAGCCTAAGCGTTGGCATCAGCGGGGCCACTCTAAATCCTACAAAAACAAAAACAGTGGTTCCGGCACGGGGGATAATAACACCCCGTACAGTGCCGAAGACAACCACCTCCAGCAAGATTCAGCACAGGAGGATAGAGAAGCCAGCCCTCATGAGAGAGCGGCAGACAGAGAGGTCGAGGACGATAATTATATGCCTCCCTCCGAAGACGAGGCAAGCCTCGACGACAAAGAA